TGCAGTGATCAGGATGCTGGTCTGGGGTATGGCATTGATCAGGACTGGGGTATGGCATACGAGGTGATCAGAATGCTGGTATGGGCTATGGTGGTGATAAGGATGCTGGTATGGCATATGAGGTGATCAGGACGCCGGTATGGGATATGGCAATAATCAGGATGCTAGTATGGGGTATGGCAGTGATCAGGGGACTGGTATGGGGTATGGCGGTGATCAGGGCGCTGGTATGGGGTATGCCAGTGATCAGGGAGCTGCTATGGTGTATGGCAGTGATCAGGGTGTTGCTATGGCATATGCCGGTGATCAGGGCGCTGGTATGGGGTATGGTGGTGATCAGATCATTGGTATGGTGTATGGCAGTGTTTTTGTGAGCACTGGGACAGGTGACAGGTCTGGCTGCATTATTTTTTTGGGACTACACTGCGGCAGTGATCAGGGACACTAGGCCTGGCTGGCACTGCAGTCTGTGAGTGTACAAGCAGTTTGACAGGCTACTGTACACTCACAGGCTGCAGCATTGCTTCTCTCTGCTCTTTCACTTGAACACAGCAATCACATGGTAAAATACCACGTGACCACCCGGACACAGCAGTAATGTGATCTGGCTGACACACGGATCACCGGGCTCCCAGGTGTGTACTCTCTGAACCACGCAGGAGCCTCTGATGCAGGCTGAAATACAAGTACGTTAGCCCATATCGGCACTGTTTCCCATCCACCATCTATAGACAATGGGCAGATGGGAAGCAGTTAAAACTCCTGCCTGTTTGCCAATTTTTATATATTACCTAAAGTTCCACTTAAAGAGCAACTAAGCCTTGTGTGTAATATAGTCAGGCTACATACTGTATACTATCACGGTCTGGGATCAGGCTCGGTGGCCAGTGACTGTATCAATAGAGAGGTTCACACAGCTGGATAAATTCACAAGAAGACCCCCCCCCCCCCAGCAGATATCATGGGCTCACCTGAGGCACTGGGTCTAAGCATTAGCCAGTCTTCACCAGAGTTCCTAATGATGAGTTTTTGCTGTGTGCTAATGCCATGACACTCTGCCAATGCCCATGTCACAACATTCTGGATTGCCCCTGCAGGAAGTGAGCGATCTAGGGTCAGGTAGAAGATGAAGCAGATAAAGAAGAAGCAGAAGCTAAGTCAATGACAAGCTAAAAGGTTGGTAGTTAGTAGTAGCTGACTGAGATCAGGTAGAAGCAGGGGTGAACTGACAACTCATGGGGCCCACGGGCAACAGGAGATCATGGGGCCCCTGTGTCCTCGCCCACACTCAAACCACACCTAAAAAAGCCTATGACAAAGGTACCAGGGGCATATCATGGGGCCCCTACTGACCCCGGGCCCTCGGGCAGTGCCCGGATTTCCAAATGGTCAGTCCGCCCCTGGATAGAAGCATAGTCAGTGAACAAGCTAAGGGTCTGTAAGAATTGGTAGTGAAGGTAAAGATAGCAGAAAGAACACATGGAGCAAGATATCATAATAAGACAGAAAGTGCATATATTTGCTGAGTCAGGTAATTAAAAATACCCTGTGCTGCCAGCACATTGGAGAGTTGGGCCACTGTACTCTGGGTGCAGGGGCGGACTGACAACTCATAGGGCCCCTGGGCAATAGGGGATCATGGGGCCTCTGTGTTCTTGCCCACACCCAAAAAATCCTATAAAAATGTACCAGGGGCATCTCATGGGGCCCCCAACTGACGCCAGGCCCTTGGGCAGTGCCGAGTGCTCAAATGGTCAGTCCACCCCTGTCTGGGTGTGTTCAAATTTGTCCAGGTTCAAGTCATACAAGCTTTTCTGCATACTGCCTGAAATCCACAAACTCAAATTTAGCGCCAAACCCCATTAACCTTTCTAACGGTCTGATTATATCCATATTTCTGTGCTGAAAACGGTATATTTTTTTGCATGGAAATATGTCATTTTTTTATTGTAGGCCTGTAATTTTTAGGAACAACGCACTGAAATCTGTCCGAGCAAGAGTCTAGTAAACATCCCGGGTAGGATAAAATTTGAAAAACGAAATCATAAATTATAATATAATAAATAATCATAAAAAATAATAATATAATAATAATAAATTTCATTCAATAATATAATCAAACCAAAAACACTGAAATTTAAAATATAGCGCCAAGTTCGCACATCACTGAGCAAAGTCGCAGAATCGTTTTCAGTGTCTGATGACGAATTTCCCCACGAATCATTATCAATCAATTCTGCAAGTGGTTCTGATTTACTATCGCTGTTCTCTAGCTGGTCTAAAACCGCTTTTGACATAGAGGGACGCTTTTTGGATGCCATGGACATTTTCTCAGTTTCCAGGCAGAAAGAACAGTAAAAATCGTGCAGGCAGGGCACAGGACAAAGCACTCGGGACAAAATGTATTTTGATACAGTAATGTTTTACTATGGGATTTTAGTGTATTTAGTGAATGTCAGTTTTTAAAATTTTCGAATTTCCTGCCGGTTCCGGCCACCGTACGTCCTGTTCTCTCGTCACTCACAGGGACCGGAACCCGGAAGACATGCTGGCATCGGCTGGAGGAGATAGCCAGGGACGCTGCAGGGGACACATCGTGGGTCGCAGGACAAGGTAAGTGCTGCAGGGAATCCCTGAGCAACGCTGCATGGTATCCCTGAGTGGAGCTCGGGGTTACCGCTTTTGGTATTGAAACTTTACCCGGAGCTACACTCGGGAATACCGCCAGGGAGGTTAAGGGTTAATTGGGTGAGCCTTACATTAAATTCTGGTCATTTTTATAGTGGTTCTAAAGGCAGAAGGTTTTTTACCTTTAGGCAAAAAACCTTCTGGGTGCAGCTCTCCCCTCAGTCTCCCTTATACCTACCTGAGCCCCATCTCGATCCAGCGATGTGCATGAGAGCCCTGACTCTCCTGGGTTTCTCTCGCCTCCTTGACTCACACAGCAGCAGGAGCTATTGGCAATAACAGCCAGTGAGCCAATGAAGAAAGGGGGCAGGGCTAGCTTTGTGTGTGAATGAACAATGTCCATTCTCAGGAGTGCAGCTCGGGAATGAGGCTGCTCAAATGCCCCCATAGCAAGAGGCTTGCTATTGGGGGCACTCGGCAAGGGGGAGGAGCCAGGATCATTGGTGGGGGGGGAAACAAAGAAAAAGATCCGGGCTGCTCTGTGCAAAACAATTGCACAGAACAGGTAAGTATAACATGTTTGTTTTTTTTATTACAACCTTTAGAATCTCTTTAACCACTTCAATGCCAGGCACTTTCACCCAAATAGAGCTTTCATTTGGTGGCATTTAGTCACTACTGGGTTTTTCATTTTTTGATAAATAAATGAAAAAAAATATTTTTTTTAAAGTGTTTTTCTTTATTTCTGTTATAAATTTTGTAAATATATAATTGTTCTTCATAAATTTAGGCCAAAATGTATTCTGCTACATTTCTTTGGTAAAAAATAACCCAAATAAGTGTTTATTGTTTAGTCTGTAGGAAAGTTATAAAGTCCACAAACTATGGGATATATCTGAAATGTGATCAATTCTGATGTAATGAGAGCCTGATAAGGCCCCAAAACACATAGACAGTACCAATATCCCCCAAATTACCCCTTTTGGGAAAGTAGACAGTCCAAGCTATTTAGTAAGAGGAATGGCAAATTTTTGGAAAATTTTTATTTTGTAAAATGGAAGATATTTAAAAAAACATTTTTCACAATTTTGTTTTACATACTGTCACCAGTGCAGTAAAGGGTCATCTTATAGCTGATGTGGCAGTGATCAGGGACACTGAATGGTGAAAGTATGTAAAAAAAAAAAAAAAAATCTGTTTTTAATTACATTTAATTTCTTTTTTACAATTTTCTTTTTTTAACACACTGTGGCCAGAGCAATATAATGTTACCATAGTAGCATTTTACTACTCTGGGGAAGTGATCAGGATTTTTTTTTGCACATTATGGGGTCAATTCACTAAGAGATAAATACCACGTGAATTTTTGAGTTAAAATAACTCATGCGGTATTTATTTCAAAAGTAGTAAATTCACTAAAAAACATGTGTTATTTACTGAGTGCGTTAAATATTTATGGTTTATGATATTGCACACAGCACTACTGTGAAATTATGAAAACATTGTAGTGTGCTTTCATTCACAAAATGATCTCCCTCTGATGAAATGTTACAATTTATTTTCGTTTCTGAGCTCAGAGGAGAACATTTTTACACTGATACAATGTATTTTTTTCACTTTTTGGCCAGTGCAGAATTCCTCTAATTGTTATTTTGTACATTACTACAAAACCGCCAGCAAATACCAGGTTATAAGTAACAAATGTCTGTTTTTTAACCACTTCCAGTCTGGACACTTTCACCCCCTTCCTGACCAGGGCAATTTTCAGCTTTCCGCCGCGCTATCACACTTTGAATGACAATTGCGCGGTCATGCAACACTGTACCCATATGAATTTTTTACCATTTTTACCATTTTTTTGAGACAGATAAAACTTTATTTTGGTGGTATTTATTCACCGCTGGGATTTTTATTTTTTTTGCTATGTAAGTGAAAATGTCCAAAAATTCTGTAAAAAAGTGTTTTTCTTATAAAATTTTGCAAATAAATAATATTTCATCATAAATCTTGGCCAAAATGTATTCCTTTATTTTTTAGCAAAAAAAAAATAAAAAAAATAAGCCAAATTAGTTTATAACCAAAAATTATAATTTTTAAACTTTTTTTTACATTTTTATTCTTTTTTATATTATTCTTTATTTTATTTTATTTTTTTTTACATACTGTCACCCTAGCAGTACAGTGTCACCATGGTGACACTGTACTACTTTTGGGGGGTGATGAGGATTTTTTTTTTTTGGAAGATATTTTTTTTTTTTTTTTACATACTGTCACTTTTACACCCATATAGGATGTAAAAGCAATCATTTCTCTTTCTCTCTGTCTGCATTCTTGCAGCCATTGAGAACTACTGAGTGAGCTGTGATTGGTCACAGCTTGTCACATGGTACAAGGCTGTTGTGAATAGCCTTGTACCATGTGGCCTCTGTGATCATTCACAGATTTCACACATAGTAAGCAATGATGTCACAAGTGACATCTTGCTTACTACTTTGCATGTGATCACTGATTGGCCAATCAGTGATCACATGATCGGGACCTCGTACAGAGGTCCTGTCCGACAATCAGTGTGTCCGGAGACACAGTGGGCACTGGATCGCGGTGCTGCGCGCTCCCAGGGAGCGTGCACAAGCAGGGTGTGGGGCGGCCATTTATAAATGGCCACCCGACCCTGCAGTGCTACTGTCCGGCCGTTTATATACAATGGCCGGTCAGGAAGTGGTTAATGAATTGACTTTGATTTATGATTTATGATTTATGATCTAATTTTTTTGCAGTATTTATCTCAATATTTTAACAAATGTGTGGTATTTATCTCACATTCAATATTTTACTTTGATGAATTTACTCTTTTATTATCTCATGCAATAATTTATGCAAATGAGTCCTGTGACTGTGTTATCGCATGCAGTAACCTTTAGTGAATTGACCCCTATGACTGCTTATACTAGGGAATTTCACTGTTATAAACAATAATTTTTACTAAAGGAATTTGATTCATTCAGCGTTTACTACTGTGGTCAGCTGTGATTGGCCACAGCTAATCACATTGTACAGACGGGCTGTGATTGGCCCTGTTTGTACCATGTGATCACTGTGACCAATCACAGGGATCAACACAGTGGGTGACAGCTTGCGACACATCGTGGCCCATGGGGTGCTTGCGAAGCACGTTTCGGGAGGACATCATATGACATCTACCCTGAACAGTGAATGTCCCACCCGGCCATCATTTGACTATAGGCCAGGCAGGAACCATATAAGGTTAGAATGCAAGCTGTTGTGAAAAAAAGTACATAGAAAGCTAGGAACTGCCAAGGAGGATATTTAACAAAGCAAAAACATATATTTAAATACCGTACAGTAGGGAGAGAGTCCTATTAATGCACCTTCAAGGGTGACATAGAAAAAACACAACTCCTTTAAATTACATGCTTGGGACATGCCTATAAGCTGCATGTGGTGTTATGGAACTGTAAGATTTTCACAGATAACATCAGTGACACCATATTCTGGCATCACTTATTTTCAGTATTATTACAGGTACTTGTATAGCACCATGAATTTACGCAGCACTCTAAATATATATTGTACATTCACATCAGTCCCTAACCCTCAAGGGGCATACAATCTAAGGTCCCTAACTTACATTCATACATACACATACTAGAGCCAATTTAGACAGGAGCCAATTCACCTACCAGCATGTCTTTGAGGTGTGGGAGGAAACCAGAGTACCCGGAGGAAACCCACGCAGGCACAGGGAGAACATGCAAACTCCAGGCAGGTGGTGCTGTGGTTGGGATTCAAACCAATGACCTTAGTACTTCCAGGCGGAAGTGTTAACCATTTATCCACTGTGCTGTCCAGTATGAAAGTATTTTTTATTTTTTTTTTGCTTTTACATTTATTTAGATAGTTTTGACTGCAACAGCTGATTTTTTAATCTTTCTTTTCTTTCTGTGGGTCAGCCATTATGACTGATGTGGATGCACAATGCTGGATGATGTGAATAACGATGGGTGTATATCGTGGGCCTTTTTTCAGGTTTTTTTATTTCTATAAAGGATTTGTCAAAAACTGTGTGTGTGTGATTTTACTGTTTACATTTGTTTTTGTGAATGAGTAGGGTTACTATGTACCCCTTACTCATTCACATGTTGGGGAGCAGTATCTGGAGTTCCATTGTTAAAGATGATTTTGATAAGCCCTGCAACCAAAGGGTAAGGGTTGTGGGGAAGAGGTCCATGTCCCCATCCCTGAAGGGTCGGCTGGTTTGGGATTTGGGGGCACCCCACACAGTTTTTTGAATGTGGTTTGCATGGGGTACCATATGAATCTCACACCAGATCTGAATTATGGGGAAATATTTACCCTGTTTTTTTTCTAATAACTATCCCGAGCTCTTTTGCATTCATGCCTGGGGATTCCCGGCCATATAAGTGAATAGGGCCAGGTGACATCACTAGTTGTTCAGCTGTGCCTGCACCTACTGACTTCCTTAACCATTTCAATATCAGGCACTTTCACCCCCTTCCTGCCCCTGCCAATTTTCAGCTTTCAGCGCTGTCACATTATGAATGGCAATTGCGTGGTCATGCAACGCTGTACCCATGTGAAATTTTTATAATTTTTTTGACACAAATAGAAATTTATTTTGGTGGTCTTTAATCAGCACTGGGTTTTTATTTTTTGCCAAAAAAAGATCAAAAAATTTGAAAAAAATGTTTTTCTTTGTTTCTGTCATAAAATGTTGCACATAAATAATTGTTCTTCATAAATTTAGGCCAAAATGTATTCTGCTACATTTATTTGGTGAAAATAACCCAAATCATTGTTTATTATTTAGTTTGTAGGAAAGTTATAGAGTCCACAAACAATGGTACTGTATATACATATCTGAAAATCGTATAATGCTGATGTACTGATAGCCTATCTCATTTCTTGAGGCCCAAAAATATCAGGATAGTACAAATATCCCCCAAATTACTTCTTTTTTTGAAAGTAGACAGCCCAAGGTATTTAGTAAGAGGCATGGCGAGTTTTTTTAAGTTGTAATTTTTTGGAAAATGAAGAAATTAAAAAAAAGGTTCATTTTTTTTACATACTGTCACCAGTGCAGTATAGCATTATCATATATTAAAAAAAGCAAAAAAAATGTCCATTTAAAAAAAAAAAATTATTGCTTTTTTCCCCCTTTTTTAATGTTGTTTTTTAAACACACTGTGGCCGGAGCAATATTATGTTTCCATAGTAACATTGTACTACTCTGGGGAAGTTATCAGTATTTTTTATTGTATACACTATAATTGCTTATACCAGTGAATTTCAATGGTATGATCAGCCGTTTTTACTGAATGATATTCATGCATTAAAGTGGAGTTCCACTCACTCTGTAAAAAAATAAAAGTCAGTAGCTACAAAAACTGTAGCTGCTGATTTTTTAAAAACAGCCACTCACCTGTCCCATGCCGCAGCCCGTTTCACCGGCCGTCCTGTATTCCAGGCACTGGCATCTTCAGTGTGGGCACCCGGCTGTGTCAGCTTGCGGCTTCACAGACAAGTGCCCACTGAAAAGGCGCTAGTAGCACTGCTCTTCCTGAATGGTCCGGTCATCTCCTGGGACCTGTCACATGTCCCACAAGTCTTTGGGGAGGGAGGGTAGGAGGACAACTTCCGTTTCCGATCGCCTAGGCGATTGCAGCGGAAGTGAGAGCGGGTACCTGTAAAATTCGAGTACCCATTCCCCCTCCCGCTCCCCAAAGGTGCCAATCCTTAATGGGGAGTGGGGGACCAATCTTTAAAGCGGAACTTCCCCTTTTGGTGTGTATTGTGATTACCTGTGATTGACCACAGCTAATCTCATGGTACAGATGGGCTGTAATTGGCCCTGTCTGCACCATGTGATCACTGTGACCAATCACAGCTAGTAGCACAATTGTACACAATGAATGGCATGAATCGAAGTCATTCATTGTTTAAAATTGTCATTGATTGATCACAGCAATCACATGGTACCGTCAGTGGGCAATGAATGGCATGAATCGAAGTCATTCATTGTTTAAAATTGTCATTGATTGATCACAGCGATCACATGGTACCGCCAGTGGGCCGGTACAGTGATCTGACATCAGCTGTGTCCAGTGGACACAGCCAGTGACAGATCGCGCCTGCAGTGAGGCCATGTGGCCCATGGACGAAACATGACGCCCACCCGGAACAAGGAAAGTACCGGCCAGGCATCATTCTGCTATAGGCAAGAACTGGTTAACAACTATTGACAGCATGGAGCTTTCATGTATAATAGCATAAGTAATATTGTTATTACACACGACATTTGGCTCCCGCCAAGCAAATAAATGTTAAGGCATTTGTCTGAATACCCAAACAGCCAAGGTTCAGCTCTTAAGTTCATCCCTAATGGTTAATATGAACATATTTATTTTTCAGAATATACTTAATATTTCTGATAGTATGGCAAACTCACATTGATGAACATACAGAAAAGAGCTTTACATCTGTTTCCAACCTGGGACATTTATATAATGTAACCAGAATCACTGTTATTGGATTATGCAGAGCCTTACATGTATTACTGTAAAATTGCCTGAATGCAGTTTTAGTTTTCCATCACAGGATAGAGCTAGTAGAAACCATGAGCCCCTAAGTCTCCAATATGGAACACTGAATGCTGGGAGATATAGACTGGGAACTACAAGCTCCAATGTGCCTGGGAGCAGGAAGAGTCCAAAGGAGGGGATATGAATGGAAAGCCCAGGAAAGAGCAAGAGTAGTTGGAAGATTGTTGCCAATCTGTGCAGAGAGTGAGGAGCTGCTGCTGGGAGGAAGGGAGAAGAATAATCAAGGGGATTGGTTTGTGACTATATAGCTGAGTGTGCGGATGGTCAGCACCATCAGGAGAGCCATATTCTGCCACTGCCAATTGCTTAACGTAGACCTGTGAAGCCTCTGCATCTGTCTTCCATCACTACACCCCACTCTGAGTCCTGTCTTCTTGCCATCAGGAAGCCAGAGCATACAGTCCTGCATAGTGTTCTGGTCCTCCTGCCATACAGGTCTGATTTAGGGACGCCAACAGATTGCTGATGTACCAGTGGGATCACCATTCACCAGACCATTAAAGGAAGCCACCTGGAATCATCATCACGTTTAAAGGGGGCCCCTCCAATAGCAATGCCTGTTGCAACAGATCCAAGGAAGTGGGTCATTGGCCCATTATTGTCCTCTTTGCTGACACTGTGCAAATTCTTTGTGAAGCTTGATCATCTTTTGTCTTTCCCAATTTTTTGGCACCTGCCCACTAGTAAGCACCGCTAATCTAGTTTGGCCCCAGCCTGTATCACATAGCCTTAACACATTACCTGGTCCTCCCACTTCAGTGTCCTACGGAGCCAATTGTTTCTTAAGACTATCTCACTAAGGTGAAAGATTATCCAACTCTAATAAGCATGCCAACATCTTCAAGGACCCCAATGTAGCCGACAGAAGGCTAACTTTGGGGACTGTACATAGTTTACTTGCTCTTGAGGGCAATTACCATTACATTGAAATCTTCTTTTACAAAAGGACTAGACATACAGTAGCTCCCTGATTGCAAGAGCCCATTGGCAAATTAGCCTCCAGCTGTTTTTTGTACCCATCTTGGTTGCCTATGGCTGCTCATTTAGTGAGGAGAACTCCAGTTTATGCTTATCAGATTTGAGTTTACTGCAGTACAATAAATATCTCAAGAGGCCCTTAGTGTTTTGAGTATGCTGTTAAATCTTTCACTGTTATATCCTGTCTTATCTAATAATTACTTGACAATATACTCTGTTATTTGTTACAAAGTCTCAAGTCTAATTTCAGTGTGACCATCCATAAGGTATTGAAAAATCACTAACCTACCTCTGTAACCGAAGGAGTCAGTGGTGCTGAAACATTTATCAAAGCCAAGGTAAGAACAGAGGACCTGATATAACCAGAAGCTTCTGTGCTGCATAAATAAGTTATTTTTCTTATAGAAAATTTGATAACCACAAAACGCAGACAGAATAAATAGTTTTTAGGTGTGGCTTACTACAATAATTTGTAAGAAAAGCACTACATG